GCCGGGCCGGTGTTTCCTGCTCCTCTGGAGTTGCGAAAAGTAGGTCCAGCGTAGGAGAGGTGCCTCCTGCCTTCGGCAGCCACTCGCTGCCGTCGTCTTCTTCCTTGCTGCCTCCCTGGCGGGCTTGCCAGTGTTAAAATGCAAGCACGCACAGCTGGCACAAAAAACAAGTTAGTAAGCAAATGCAATGGTAAATCTACAGGCAGTATCATGCAGGCTTAAACATAAATCAGTATTTAATTAGCAAGTCTGGCTCAGCCTGGGTCCGCCCCTTGTTCTGTAACGTGCTAGTGCCTAACAGGCAGCTCCCACACACCCTGGTCTCTGCTTCGGGTGCTGGGAGACAGGCTTACAGCCTCTCAACCTGAAATGGTTGTATTTGGGTTGGTAGGAGGACCTCAGGGAGCTCTGCTGTGCCCTCCTCTCTCTCTCCTGTGCAGAAGTCGCCAGCCACAGGGCAGAGGGGGATGCACCCAGGGACCAGGCGGAGGAGATGCAGGCGCTGGAGCCCGGCTCTTGCCCGGCAGGTCGCTGTCAGCCTCAGGCTGCAGCCGGGGCGCTGAGACGGGACTGCCCAGCCCGTTCCCTCTCGGCCTCAACAACACACCCAGACAGGTTGTGCGTGACAGCCTTGGGGATGTCAGAAGAAACCAACCAAGCCGGCGGTCCTTGCTGCGGCTGGGCCACCCTTTTCCATACCGCTGGCACTACGGGTATACGGGGCCATCCTGTCTCCCACACCACTGGAGCGGGTGCAGGGGAAGCAGATGAACAGCTGGGCGTGCACCGGTACTTTCCAGCCACCCTCGCAGCCTCCGGTATTGCCATACAGCTTGTTGCAGCTGTTGACACTCTGTTTCAGTTTTGGTAGGACCCGGGTGTCAGCGTGAAAGATGCAGCAGCAGCAAGACCTGTGCCTAGCGCGAGTGCTGGAAAAGAGGCAGAGGAAAGGTTTAAAGCGGTTATACAAGTCATTGCCCTAAATCTGCCTCTTGCCTGCTGCTGGGACAGCAGGACCTGCAGGCAGTACCATAAAGGCCTTTCCCTTCGTGCCCGGGGAGAGCTGCAGTGATCCTCCCACCGACTTGATTATTTTACCTTACGCAGAGCTTCACCAGCTCCTGCAGCCCGTGTTCTCCTTCTGCCTTCTCTGCTCTTCCTCCTCACCCTCAGTAGTACCACGGATGCGCAGAAGGCATCAGCAAGGCACCCCGGGGAGGCTCAGCAGGACACCGGTGACCCCGAGCTGAACTAACCTCCCTTTCCCACCAACTACTGGTGGCCCCGGGACACCAGGCACAACCCTCGGTGGAGGAGAGGGATTGAAACAGCATTTCTTTGGGATCTAGACTGGCTGGGGACTTAGGGGCCAGCTCGGGCCCCGGAGGAACTGCATCCCCCTCCCCATTGTGGGTTTACATTCTCCCCTGGCACTGCAAATCCAGCAGCCGGTGGGGACTGCGTGCAGGTCCCCGCGGTGCTCCCGGCTGGGGCCAGAGCCAGCAGTGACTCAGCAGGCGCCTGCCGGGCTGCTGTGCTGCGAGCCCACACTGCGGGGAGCCGGGTCCAGGGGGCTGGGGGACGCTCCCGGCCAGCCCCAGGCTGAGAGCCGGACCCTTCGGTTGGGGGCCGTTGGGTGGTTGCAGCACCCAAGCAGCAACCCAAGGTTTTGGGGTACAGTGTGCCCTCCAGGCAGCACGGGGAGCTCCTCCACCAGCAGCTGCATCCCGCTGGCTCCCTGCAAAGCCAGACTGTAGGGATTTGGGGATTTAAAATCACACACACACATTGTCATGAGTGCTGCCCGTGGCAGGTCTCCTCCGCTCCCCGTGGCCACAAATGCCACCTGCAAGCGCAGTCCTGCTTAGCAGCGAAGGGTTAAGCATCAGGCCAGCTATCAGGGAAGCTTTCCTCTCCTCATTTTCCTTGCCAAGGTTTAAATTTAGTCCCTGCATGAACCCAGACGACTTGGGCATCGGGTTGCTCCGGGGCTGGCAGCGCCAGGGAGCACCTGCTACTGCTGCTTCACTGCAAAAATCCCCCCGAAAGCTGGGGCTGAGCTCTGCGGGCAGCAGTGAGGGCCGGCAAGCTGTGGAGACCCTCGTGCCATGCCAGGTGCCCCAGCCGCTTGCTTTGGGTCGCCCCGGAAGAAGGCAAATAGTAGCCATCCAACATGTGGTTCTTGTGAGTCCTGGACATGCTCGGTGCTCAGTTTGCTCCTGGCTGCTTGCGATTCGTTGTAGGGGACCTGCTGCTTGGGGCAGGGTGGTTTTTGGGGAAGCCCCCAGGATGGGGACACATTGTCCCTGCAGCGAGGTGGGCAGAGGTGCCGGGAAAGGAGCCATGGTGGGGATGGAGTGGCAACCCAGAGCCCCGCCGTGCCCTCAGTGCTGGACATAGGACATCCCTGGAGGAGTCTGCGGGTCCTCCAGCCCGCTGCATGGGGGGGGCACACTCCGGGTACCACCATGGGGCGTGGGGATGCCCTGGCACATCGCCTGCGGGTTTGGGGAGCAGCAGCGCAGGGTGAGCGGGCAGGGGACGGTGCTGGCAGCCCCCCGGCAGACCCCTAAGGCTGGGGGCGGCGGTGGCATCCCTGCAATGCGCTTGGCATCGCCTCCCCCGGGCTGGCGCTTGCTGTCGTCCATGTGATCGAGGGGC